CGGTTTTTCACCGTTCCCGAAATTTGTTGAAAACCGGCCGGTCTTTTTGCCGTTTTTCACCGGTCTAAAAAGATTTTTGGGCCGGCCGGTCACCGGTCGGTCCGGTCCGGTCTGCTGTTTTGAACCGGCCGGCCCGGCCTCTTATTTTTAGACCGGTTCCAACTCTGCATTGAGTTTAATGTTATTTCTTTTAAATTGACGTTCGTTGACAGTTCAAGTGTAAGTATAATCAAACTGGCTTAGGAACGCTGAGAAAACCATCAGGTATTTGATTGTTCATCACTAAATGACGGGCCAAAATACAACGTGTTGCTTTATCTCAGTCCCTTTAAAATGAGAGAAAAATTATGAATTGTCTTTTCTTACATATATTCTAGCTAAAAATTGGTGTGAACCGGCCAGTTGGATAATTGTGAACAATTCATCTTGTCTTGAACTACCTCTTATCGAGTGGTTTGTTGATTTAAACTCAAAGGTTACTAGTGATCAACAATCAAAACAACAAGTATCCGCTGATAAGAAAACAAAGGATTATGATATACTGCTTGATTTTGATTTTCATGTTCTCTGCTTGATTGCAACTGAAGAACAACTATTTCAAACTATTGTAAAAGCAAACATGAATCTTAATCATTATGTATCAGTGATTTATCCTGAATATCATCGCAGAATAAACACGTTTTTGACATATCTATCACAATCACCTATTTTGCAACAACGTACGCTGTTAATAGAGGAAGGCCTAGTTTTAATGAATGATAATGAATCATCCGAATTGTTCTTTAGTGCTCTTCTCAATGGTCTAGTTAACAACAATACGACAGTTATGTTAAAATACGGTGGAACGAACTCCCAAAATCGATATTATTCCGTAAATTTGTTACCGAAATCAAATGCGAGTCCACGTCGTGTCATGTCTGATGTGCGAACAATGCGATACAGGTTGAAGGATGATTATGACATATCAACAAAAACTCGATTATTGCCAATATTAAAAGATTTAGCATTATCAAACGGTGTTTCAGCCTCACGAAGACGTTCGTCAGCAATAACTCTATTACAAATTGTCTTGGAAGAATTGCCTTCTATGAATACTGAAGAACGACGAGTTTATAGACGGATGATATTAGAAGGAGTTTCCAAAGCAGATGGTGACAAAGCGAATACAATTGCTTCACATTCAGTAAAATATTCACTGTACCTTGTGCGAAACTATTTAGTCACACCGGACGATGAAGATTTAGCACTCATTTTTTCTCTTGTTCTTGCCATCTGCCGTTTAGCTGCTCACTATTGGTTTCGTCATGCATTATTTAATCGTACACCAGAAATTTATACTCTAACACTCTTGTTAATTAATCAAAAATGTTATGTGTTAGCCGTAGCTGGTATTCGATTATTCACTTGTATACTGGACGCAGATCAAATGCAAATGAAATATTCCATCACGTTTACAAAACATGATCAATTTGTGGTAAGAAAATTATTGGACACAATTAAATGGCTATTCTCGCCGTTTCAGCTGTTAGAAAAGGAACAACAAACCGATAATTCAGTACAAGACATTCAACTATCCGGGATGAAAACTTGTACCACAGACAATGCTGGGTATGTTTAACGAAAAAAAAGCGCGAAAAGTTACTGAAAATTCAGGGCTGTTAACTAGTCAAATTTTGCTTCTTGATCTAACGGCCAAAGGATGCCGTTGCTACGGCCTTAGACGGTTTTCTTTGCCTTACATACATTGCAAAAGACTTGTAATCAATAATTATCCATTCAAAATAAAATTTGAGCTTGGTTTCGTCTAAATGCACTTAGACTG